GAAATCATATCCTTGGCAGGGACATGGATGGAGCTGGAAGCCATTATGCTCAGCAAACTAACACAGGAACAGAAAACCAAACACTGCATGTTCTCATGTATAAGTGGGAGTCTAATGATGAGACTACATGGACACACGGGGAAAACGACACACACTGGGGCCTGTCACGGGTTGGGTGGGCATGAGACAGCATCAGAAAGAATAGCTAAGGGATCCTGGGCTTAATATCTAGGTGATGGGATGATCTGTGCAGCAAACCACTGTGGCACATGTTTACCTACTTAACAAACCTGCACATCCTGCACATGTACCCTGGAACTTAAAGTAAAAATTGCAAAAAAATTTCTAAAATAGATGCTTTCGACAGGCAAAATAAAGAAACATAATTACACTGTATAACAAGGATAAAAAGTTAACTCATATACTGTATGAAATGATAAGTCTAAGTTAATATTGATAATAGCTAACACAGTTTAGTGTAAAACTAATTTTAGTAGTGGGTTCCTAGGCAATCAAAATTTTAAAACCTAGTAAGAGACTTAACTTTTGTTACCTGAAAAAAGGACACATAAAAGTTCGTTCCTAAGTGAGCTTCCTCCTTAGATCACTAACACCTAACTGAAAGGTATTACACTAACCCTTAACTGAAACATATACAGGAAAAAACTGTCTTTCTCATAGTGTGAAGAAGTTGGCTAGTTTGTACAAAAGAAAAAAAGTACTTAAAAATATAAAATAAAATTAAAAACAAGAAAGAAAACAGGCCTCCCTAGCCCTCTCCATGTCTCCCCTTTCCTCCCTGTACTCAGCCATGTCAGCCCGCCTTCTCTTCCTCAAAGTTGCCAACTCATATTTGCTGTTGTTTCTGCCAGGAAGGTTCCTCCTCTCCATCCCCTAGCTGTCTCTTTACCTGGGTCACTCTTTCATCTTTGAGGAGCCCCTCGGAGGAGATCCCATGCTCCTCCTGACTACCTCCACTGTAGCCTGTACTTCATAGCACTTAGCACCACTGAAACCATGCACTCGCGTGCCTTCATTGCATTCATTATGTCTCCCCTTTAGACCAGCACTACCCGATAGAACTGTCATGTGAGCCATAAATGTAATTTTAAATGTCCTCACAGTCACACTGGTTTTAAAACTGAAAGGAAGCTGATGAAATTCATTTTAATCACATGCTTTATTTAACCCAATATGCAGAATGTTACCATTTCAATGTGTCATCAATATTAAAAAAATTATTAAAGGTATGTTTTACATTTTTTTCCACATTAAGTTTTAAAGATCCAGTGTATATTTTATACTTTACAGCCCAATTCAATTTGGACCAGTCCCATTTCAAGGTTTGGTACTCTCTTGCAGCCAATGGCTTCGTAGTGGACAGCCCAGCCATGGAGACTAAACTCCCTGAGGACACAGAGCACATCTATCTTACTGCTGAGTCTACAACACCAGACTGTTTTCTTAAAGGAAGAGCCAGATAAGTATTTGTTTTGGGGTGTGCTTTTTTTCATTTTTTTTTTTTAGAAAGAATGGTTGTACTGAGGAAGAAATGGTGGTACAGAGAGAGCAAGTGATTGGCTCAAGCTCACAGGAATAATTAATGCTAAAGCAATTCTAGCTTCCAACAGCCAACTCTGAAAAGAAACTGTATTGGCCCTGTGCCTCATGGAAACTCTTTGTGAGAATCTCCCAGGTCAATCTGCCACTCTGGATGCAAACGGGCTCCCAAAGATCAGCCCAAAGCACATTTATTAAAAGCTTTACCTTGAAAGATAGGGAAAGTTTGGTTTTACGAGAAAAGTTTTCATTCTATTACCTTGTAAATCCTATCAATTGATAGGTATTATGTAAGTGGCATTAGCAGGCTCTGTGCCGACTATTGCGGATGCTATTTTGAAACTCCTGTACAGCTATCATATTATCAGTGGTGATTTCCTTCAGGATTCTAGTCAGAGTTACAAAGTGAGTCAGCATTAGCCTTCCCTCCCCAGGCTTGTGAGGGTGTGAGGAGCATGTGTGGTTGCTGGTGACGCAGCAAGGAATGTGGTCAGCATACTTCGCATTCCTAGCCTTGATTTACCCCCTCTGACAATCAGAGTAGGGTTAGTCATAAAACCTCCCTCCTTCAGAAGTTTTCATTGTAAATGAAGGGACAGTAATCACTCCCCATCAAAAAAGAATGTAGAGATGCAAAAGATACAGGCTCAGCCTGAACTTATTTATAAGTAGAACAAAGAGTTGCAAAACAATATCACAGTATGTTCCTATTTTCCCAATAAAGTGCATATTTCACATATTTATATTAAAGGAAAGTAGTTCAGAAGATTACTTTTCAAAATATTATATTTATCATTAGCTGGTGAAATTATGGAGTATTTTTAATTTTTCTGCTCTTAGTTGACTCATAGAGTTTTCTTCAGATTTGTATTACTTGTGCAGAAAAGTAACAATTGAATATGTAAATAAGCCTGCGCACACATACACTCATATATGATCCCAAACATTCCAACCGCCTTTAAGTGATAATTATTTTTTGAAATGCCCAATGAAACCCATTATTTCTTTAGCTTTTCAGTAAATGACTTTGGCTCTTTCAAGCTCAAATAGTCCCAAGGACAGGAAACCTGCTGCCCTCAATGCTATCAACAGCATGAGGAATGTAGCCTCCCAAGTAGCGTAAACAGAAACCACTACCCACCTGAAAGCCACGGGGTGTGTGGGGGCCTTCCCCAGGATGGAGGTGTGGAAGTCAGAGAGCTGGCCTCAGATTTGGCACAGCTGCCAACAACCTTGTTAGAAATTCAACATCCTTAAATAGGATGGTTGCCAAAGAACGTGTTAAACAGGCAATCAACCTTCTTGGTGATGATTAATTCAAGTAGCCATTTCCCACTTTCCTGAGAGAAGAGCTCAGATCAGGATCTAGGCCTGCTGAGGGGTATTTCAAAATATTCTAAGGGTTTAGATTCCCTTACCAGGAGGCTGCTACCCCAGGCAGAACTCTTAAATCAGTGGTTATCAACCACGTAGGCTTTGCTTTTCAGGAGATTTTCGGCAATGCCTGAAAATATTTTTTGGTTGTCACAACTGGTGGGTGCTACTGGTATCTGGTAGGTAGAGTCTAGAGATGCTGCTAAGCCTCCCAGAAGGCACAAGACAGCCCACTACAACAAATAATTATTCAGCCCAATGGTAATAGTGCCAAGTTGAGAAACCGTATCTTAGATAAGGAAAGAAATTCTTGGATGCTTTGAAGGAAGGCTGACTTTTTTTGCCGAAATTAACCATATCACTGATATCTGGCTATATTCTCATTTGCCAACAGGCCAAAAGAAATTCTCTGAATGTTCTCAGCATCTTGAATATAACACCTATCAGTGAATACTCACCTTAGGCAGGCACGCACAGTGAGCTTCCTTCGGCAAGCCAGCTCCAGTCTGTTGGTAGTGACTTCCAGGATGAGTTCTCTGGAAGCAGATCTTGAGATGGTGTTTGAAGTAGGACATGTTTATTAGGGATCAATGGTTGCAAAGGGAGAAGCAACATTGGGCAGAGGGAGAAGACAAACTCAGTGCAAGTCTGACAAAACCTCGACCAGCCCGGAGAAGACTTCTGGAACCAGTGTTGGCGTTTCTCATTAGAAGGAACAGCTGGGTCTTTATAAATCCCCTCCCCTTGCAACCACCTGACTTGGTCACGAGGTGAATGTTCTCCCAGTTAGGGAGTGCACTGCAGCTGAGGCTGAACTCAAAGGTGCTGACACCTGGAGTGAGTATGTGCTACTAACCGCACTCCCTGCAGCTGGACATCAAGGCCTTCTTTGAAAGGGAATCTGGATGTCATACCTTCATGTGCATACCACCGGATGCATCCACACTCAGCTTATAGGCATGCTACAATCCATTAGCAATGCCTCCCATGGTCCATGTGTAGAACAGCACCATCTGTACTAGGTATTTGGCAACTCTACATTAGAAACAGGGGTCAAGTGGTAAGGCCTATAATTCCAATATCTTGTTGGCACCTGAAAATCAACTGTGTCTGGAGGAAAACCAAAAAGACGGTATGCCAATGAGAAATGGAAACTGCCTGCCATCTAGTTAACTGTCTATCTATTGGGCTGGATTGAAAATGGAAGTGTTCCTTTTCTTTCTCACGATACATTACTTACCTTTCCTTTGTTTATTCCATGTGATTTATTACACACTCACTGTGTGAAGAATTTGGCTTTTACCCAATTCATTAAATTTGTGCCATGGGCTTCTTCAGTCTCTGCAGTCCTAACTAGAAAAGCTTAGTACTATAATAAGTGGACTTTAAGAGTCCACTTAACCTTCTCTGATAAGCATCCACTAGCTTTGACTTCGGAAGGTAAGTAAGAAGAGAGTTTTGCCATACTTGCATTATTTTTGTGGATTAGATTAAAATGGTCCAAAACTGTTGAGAGGGAGAGAATTATTTTCTTTTCCAGTAGGAAATCATTTGAAGATCCAGTGTATTGTGTGATGAGCTAGGCAGCTCACACACCTAATAACAATAATAGTACTAGTGACTTTAGTTATTATAATAAATATAATTCATGACTTTACAAACACTATGGTTTAGATGTTATGCTAATCATTTTATATAAATTGATTACTGTGTCCAATGTTGATTTTTTTTTTTTTTTTTTGAGACGGAGTTTCGCTCTTGTTACCCAGGCTGGAGTGCAATGGCGCGATCTCGGCTCACTGCCACCTCGGCTCACCGCAACCTCCGCCTCCTGGGTTCAGGCAATTCTCCTGCCTCAGCCTCCTGAGTAGCTGGGATTACAGGCACGTGCCACCATGCCCAGCTGATTTTTTGTATTTTTAGTAGAGACGGGGTTTCACCATGTTGACCAGGATGGTCTCGATCTCTTGACCTCGTGATCCACCAGCCTCGGCCTCCCAAAGTGCTGGGATTACAGGCTTGAGCCACTGCGCCCGGCCCAATGTTGATTTTTAATTTTAAAAAAAGACAGTTTTTTTAAAAAAGTTCAATTGATAGTCTTTATCCACAAGCGTTACCTGCAATCAGGTAGGTTGTTGTTTTTGAAGATGCTGCATAATGTTAAATAAAGAATTGTGTAAACCTAATGTTGTTATTCACTACAATAATCACAAACTAAATTTGTTTTAGGTCCAATGGGACGTCTGGACTGGCCCTACAGCCATGTGCACTAGCAGCAATGTGTGCAATATTTCAAGAACACAATAAAACTGCCAATTTTTCCTATTTAAAGCCATCCACAGAGAGCTTAGATGATGAGTTAACAAAATGAAATGTTGTTAATTACATTCCTTGGTAATTTTGGTCCTAAAGGGGTCATTTTGCTTTTTCCAACTGAATCATTTATTATAGATGAAGGAGTATAATTATGGAGCTGGATGAAGTATCAGGTAACAGTACTTCATGGAAGCCATTATGCGTATGTCTCAGTCCATAGCAGCTTTGTTATCGACTGGTGAAAATATGCTGGTCTGGGCCAAGGAGCCTTCTTAATGAGGAAAAGCCCAACGTTTTTGATTTATCTAGCTCAGATTTCACACAGTCAACTAGATTTCCTCTTTGCTTCAATAAAATAATTCTAATGATTATTTTTGCTCCACAATAAAAAAGAGCTACCTAGTAGATAGTGAGCTTTCCATCTTGAGGATATTTAAGCAGACCTAGGATCAACACTGAAAACATTGTAGGAAAAATTCATCTCAGTCTATCAAACAAGGATTTGGCTAGCAATATTTCAAAGGTAATTTATTTATTAATTCTACTAGGTATCTAAAGGAAAAGAAAACAATGTTATCAAGGGGACACCTACACTCACATGTTTATTGCACAATAGCAAAAATATGGAATTGAACTATGTGTCCATCAGCAGACAAATTGATAAATGTGGTACAAATATACAATGGAATACTATTCAGCTATAAAAAAATAAATCATGTCATTTGCAGCAACACAGATGGAATTGGAGGCCAATATGTTAAGTGAAATAAGCCAGATATAGAAAAACAAATTTCATATGTTCTCACTCATCTGTGGGAGCAAAAACAATTGATTTCATGGAGGTAGAAAGTAGAATGATAGATACCAGAGCCTGGGAAGGGCACGTGGGTGTGAGTGGAGATAAAGAGAGGCTTGTCAATGGGTACAAACATACACTTATATAGAAGAAATAAGTTCTAATGTTCAATAGCAGGCTAGGGTGACTATAGTTAGCAACAATGTATTATATATTTCAAAGTAATGATAAGGAGGACTTGAAATGTTCCCAACACACAGAAATATTCAAGATGATGGATACTCCAAATACCTTGACTTGATCATTATACATTCTATGCCTGTAGCAAAATATCACATATTCCTTATAAATATAAAAACTTTATACATAGTACATATGTAAAAGAAAAGTTTTGAGTCTTTCTCTTGAGCCTAGCATTATGGGATGAAACTGTGTAAGTCACAGCTCCTATCTTCAAACAAAATAGAGTCTAGCAATTCCTTTTAACTTTGAGATTCTATAACTTTATCTTAACAAAATTTATATCAGATCTCTATTTTCCATATTTTAAATATTTCCTTTAGGGTCATTTTTGAAAATAATACTTATATGTGTTTTTAAAAATATAGAGTGAAATACAGGAAGATATCATCTCACCCTTTTCCTTGGTGTAAGTTAGCTATTGCTGTATAAAAAAGAGATGGCTCTGAACAGCCATTATTTATTGTTGCAGTTCACATGTCTGTGGACCAGCTAAAAGATGGGTGATCTAGGCTGGCCTCAGTTGGGCAGTTCTGTTCATCTTGGCTGGGCTCATGTGTCTGCAGGTTGCCCAGAGGTTTTGCTGTGGGTTAGGCTTTACTGCAGTGGCTCCAAATAGTATGTAGACAAGGACTGGAGGGAGTGATTGAAAAGCTACCATAATGTTCTTTAATCTGAACCAGAAGGAACTTTAGGAGCTGCATAGGAGAGCCTTACTGCATAGATATGAAACAGTCTCATTTTTGCAGAAGAGACTTAGAGCTTGCACCATCCTCACAGAAAGAACCCCCATTCCTCACAGCAAGAACTTACTCAATAAGGGGATGTCATGTCTCCCTGATACCAAAGACCTGTGGAGATACTGACAGTGTATAGGGTAAGGCTCCTCTGTCCCTGGAACTGAGAGAACAAGGGAAACCCTCTTGTTATGACAGATCTGATGGCCTGCCTCGCTGTACACAGAGGAGGCAGAAGTGCTTCTACCCCTGCCTCAGAAAGGTCCATCGCAACTCAATCTCAGCCTCAAAATAGACAAAGAAAAATGATAATAAATCCAAGGGCCACAAGAGTCCAAGGGAGCCAAGAATCCTGAGGAAGAACAAATAGAACAATCAGAACAGACCAATACTGAAAAGGAACTGTTGAAAGAAGCAGGCAACAACTTCAATAAAAACAAAACAAGATGACCTAGATTCATATATAATATGCACTGGTGCCTATCTTCCCCCCACACATAGACACACACAGAGACGGACATGTACACTTTTCTGTAACTAAAAATATGATTTGGGGCATCCAAATCTGTAAAGAGGAAGTCAAACTGTCACTATTTGCTGATGACATAATTGTATACCTAGAAAACCCTAAAGACTACTCCAAAAAGCTCCTAGAACTGGCACATGAATTCAGCAAATTTTCAGAATGCAAAATTAATGTATGCAAATCAGTAGCCCTGCTATGCACCAACAGTAACCAAACTGAAAATGAAATCAAGAACTCAACCCCTTTTACAATAGCTACGAAAGACAAATAAAATACTTAGGAATATACTTAATCAAGGAGGTGAAAATCTCTATAAGGAAAACTACAAAACACTGCTGAAAGAAATCATAGATGACACAAACAAATGCAAACATATCTGATGCTCATGGATGGATAGAATCAATACTGTTAAATTGGACATACTGCCAAAAGCAATCTTCAAATTCAATGCAATTCCTATCAAATTCCACTATCAATCTTCACAGAAATAGAAAAAAAAAATCCTAAAATTCATATGGAACCAAAAAAGAGCCCACATAACCAAAGCAAGACTAAGCAAAAAGAACAAATCTGGAGGCATTGCATTACCTGACTTCAAACTATACTGTAAGGCCATAGTCTCCAAAACAGCATGGTATTGGTGTAAGAACAGGCACATGGACCAATGGATCAGAATAGAGAACCCAGAAATAAAGCCAAATGTTTGCAGTCAACTGATCTTCAACAATACAAATAAAAACATAAAGTGAATAAAGGACATTCTATTCAACAAACAGTGCTGGGATAATTGGCAAGCCACATGCAGAAGAATGAAACTGGATCCCCATCTCTCACCTAATAGAAAAATCAATTCAAGATAGATCAAAGACTTAAATATAAGACCTGAATCCATAAAAATTCTAGAAGATAACATTGGAAAAACCCTTCTAGACATTGGCCTAGGCAAAGACTTCATGACCAAGAACCAAAAAACAAACATAACAAAAACAAAGATAAATAAATGACTTAATTAAACTAAAAGACTTCTGCATAGCAACAGAAATAATTAGCAGACAACCCACAGAATGGGAGGAAAATCTTCGCAATCTGTACATCTGACAAAAGATTAATATCCAGAATCTACAAGGAACTCGAACAAATTAGCAAGAATAAAATACACAATCCCATCAAAAAGTGTGCTAAGAATATGAATAGACAACTCTCAAAAGAAGATATGCAAGTGGCCAATAAACATATGAGAAAGTGCTCAAAATCACTAATGATCAGAGAAATGCAAATCAAAACCCCAATGTAATACCACCTTACTACTGCAAGAATGCCGTTAATCCAAAAAATCACAAAATAATAGATATTGGCAGAGATGTGATAAAAAGGGAACACCTTTGCACTGTTGGTGGGAATGTAAACTATACAACCACTATGAAAAACAGTATGGAGATTCCTTAAAGAACTAAAAGTAAATCTACCATTTGATTCAGCAATGCCCACTTCTGGTATCTACCCAGAGGAAAATAAGTCATTATACGAAAAAGACACTTGTACACATATGTTTATAGCAGCAGAATTTGCAATTACAAACATATAGAACAAGCCCAAATGCCCATTAATCAACGAGTGGATAAAGATTATGCGATATGCATGTATATATACTGTGGAATACTACTCAATCATACACCGTGGTGGCAGGGCCTGGCTGCCACAAAGAAGACATGTTTTAGGCAAAAAACTCAAGGACTGTATTTGTGACTAATCACATGTGATTAAGTTAAGAATCTTCAGATGAAGGGATTACGCTGGTTCTGTAGGTGAGCCCTAAATGCAAAGATAAGTGTCCTTATAGGAGAGGTACTTGACAGATACATAAAGGGAAAAGAGAGGTGAATGGGGAGACTGATATTAGAAGGAGGTAGCCAAAGTCCAGGAAGGAGGGGCAGATACCAGGAGCTGAAAGGGGCAAGGAACAGATTTTCCCTAGAGCCTCCACACCTTCATTCCAGACTTCTAGCCTGCAGACCTGTGACAGAATACATTTCTGTTGCTTTCAGACACTAAGTTTGTGCTAATTTGTGATGGCAGCCTCAGGAAACTAATACAATGATTATTACTAAATTGGAGATTGCCAGTACAATAGGAAAGAGCATCTAGAGTTTGGAGGCAAATTGATTATGACACAAAGAGGGGTCAGGCTGCAGAGTTCTGCCCCTTTGGATACACTTTGTAGCTCTCTCTCCAATGACCACTGTAATCTCCAGTTCATGCCTTCTCCCAGATACATCTGAAACTGAGACCCAAAACAACTACCAGGGGAAAAGAAACACTAACTTATCAATTTTTCTTGGTTTTGGTACAGGCAGACCAAATACAAATTGATCAAATCCAACTTTGAAAAGAAAGTTAATAAATGCTTTTTCCTTTTTTTTTTTCCTTAAAAGCCCAGATGGAGACTCACACATCTATATCCATCAAATCATAATCATAATTGATCCAGAGAGAGCCTTGCTGGAGAGAGTAGAGCATTTTCCCAGACAATTTTTCGTCTCTTCCCTGGTGGAGAATTATCATGCCATCTGGAAAAAGGCAGTATACTCCTTTCACAGACATTGCGCAGCTAATTACCAATCAATTCGAACTTAGATTGGCCTAGAACCATGGAGTGACCCCCTCTTTATTCCCATGTCCCAAGCCACTGCTCTCTCAATAACCAATTTTAATGTAATGAAACTAATCCTGCTTTATGCTTAAATAGTGCTTATAGTTTAGAAAGCATCGACAAACACAGAACCTCAATTGTTTTATGTTGTTTCTCACAACAAAACTATGAGACAGAAATGGGGCAAACATTACTGCATACATTTTCCAGAAGAATAAACAACAAAGTTTAGAGAGGCTACATGATTTGTCACGAGCCTTAGACTTCAAATTCATTGATATCCTCTGCACCGTAATGCCTCTTGAGAATGGATCCATTTGAGGTAGACCTCAATAAAAAATGAGTCTGGGGCTGGGCACGGTGGCTCACGCCTGTAATCCCAGCACTTTGGGAGGCTGAGGCAGGCAGATCACCTGAGGTTGGGAGTTCGAGACCAGCCTGACTAACATGGGGAAACCCTGTCTCTACTAAAAATACAAAATTAGCTGGGCATGGTGGCACATGCCTGTAATCCCAGCTACTTGGGAGACTGAGGCAGGAGGATCTCTTGAACTGGGAGCCGGAGGTTGCAGTGAGCCAAGATCGTGCCATTGCACTCCAGCCTGGGCAACAAGAGTGAAACTCTGTCTCAAAAAAAAAAAAAAAAAGTCTGTTTATTTTTCAGATGCTCTCTTTCATTAGGAGGCTAGGTGTCTCTGAGCTCAAAAGGAATCCTCTGTGTGTATATACATGCAAAGGAAGATAAATAAGACATTTCTAAACACCCAAGCCCGCAATATCCTGAGTCAAATATCAGTTCATTGCTCATTATGTGTTTTACTTTGGATAATACTAACTTTTTAAAAATTATCCCAAGGTGAACTCTATAATGGACTAAATGTAGATTTAGCCTCTACCATCAACAGCATTTCTGTCCTCCTGCTATCATGTATCTTCTGATATCCAAGGCAGGAGATGATCAGAGAGACCATATATATTTTTAAAATTATTGTCTAAGTATATAGCTCTCATAAGACTTGATTTTGACATTTCCTTGGCAATTAACTAGTAAGTGAAGTTTTCAGGTGGTCATTCTCCATAGGGCTATAAAAAGAAAATTAAAAGCAAGATCAATTGTGCTTTGTAAAGTGCAGGAAAAAAATCCTGAATTTTTTATGACTACCAGACACCAAAAAAGTTATTTTCTAAAGATAATTCCCATTTCTGTTCCATGAGTCATGGAGGAATAAGCAATTTGAATTAAAGGCAAGAGATTCTGGATTCATGTATTCAAATTTATTTATTCACAAATATATAAAGTGTCCCCACTCTGTGCCAAGCATGTACTGGGGCTAAAGCAGTGAGAAAAATAGTCTCTGGTCTTAAAAAGCGTACATTCTACTGGGCAAATTAAGACAATGAACATATGTCAATTTAGTATCTCGTTTTCAGCAAAACATGTTCAGAGATTCAAAGCTGACCACTCCTGCTGCCTTCACACAGACACCCTGAACTGGAAGATTACAAAAAGCTGTAAACACAGATAAAGCAGCTGGCCTCGTGTCTATAATTTTAGATAGCCAAGAAAAACTGCCTGTGACAATCATATACACAAAAAAACAATCATTCAGACACTGGAAAAATTCTATCCTTGCACAGGAATTTTTAAGGATGTAGACTCTTCTAAAGGATGGACCTCTGGGAGGGAATATATGTTTGCCAAGGGCTCCTTCTGGTGCCTGGGGGACTTCTTCCACTTTCTTGCATCTGTTCTGCTGTTATATTCATATACGTTCCCAGAGACTGTGGGAAGGAAAACACAAAACACAGACAAAGTAAATTACAATGAACTTGCAAAGCATTTATTCTTCCCATGAAATGTGTATTGAGCATTTGCTAGATAGCTGGCATAGTGACGAGTTTATCTTCTCAAGTCTTGTTCTTTTACCAACGGAAAAACTAGAAGCAAAACCTGAAGCAGTATATGGTTTCACATGCATTTAAAATTGCCCCTTTAGCACCAGGGAGTTCTTTTGTGCTATTGGAATAGTTTTGCATCTTGAGAGTGGTAGAATCTATTACAGTGATTAAATGTCATACACATAGACATATAAAAAAAAAAAAAGTATATACAATAACTGGGGAAATCTGAGTAAAGCCTGTGGTCTAGTTAGTTGTACTGTACCAACATCAATTTCCTGATTTTGGCAATGCACTATAGTAATGGAAGATGTTACCTTTGGGGAAAGCTGGGTGATGGGTACACAGTAGCTCTCTGTATTATTTTTCATAATTTTTTGTGAGTTGGTAATTATTTGAAGAGGAAATGACTTTTTATGTCAAATGAGTTTTTCAAATTGAAATTAATCTGCCATGTACAGTATTTGAGGTATAATTAGCCAGCCTTTCACAGAAACAATAATGCAGTAACCGTAATATACAAGAGAAAGAAAGTAAAAAATGGCCTGATACAGTAGAAAAACTACCAATTATTTCTTAGGTAATAATTACACTGAGGTGTAATAAAAAGAATAATGATAATAATAGCTGATCCTATAGTATTTACTATATGCCAGACTCTGTTTTCATATATCAATTTACGTAAATATTATTTGACATATTTTAGAAATAAGAAAGCTGGCCAGGCGCGGTGGCTCAAGCCTGTAATCCCAGCACTTTGGGAGGCCGAGGTGGGTGGATCACGAGGTCAAGAGATCGAGACCATCCTGGTCAACATGGTGAAACCCCGTCTCTACTAAAAGTACAAAAAATTAGCTGGGCATGGTGGTGCGTGCCTGTAATCCCAGCTACTCAGGAGGCTGAGGCAGGAGAATTGCATGAACCCAGAAGGCGGAGGTTGTGGTGAGCCGAGATCACGCCATTGCACTCCAGCCTGGGTAACAAGAGCAAAACTCCGTCTCAAAAAAAAAAAAAAAGAAAAAGAAAAAAGAAAGCTGGAGAACAGATATGTTAAGTAATCTGCCAGTACCATGTCATCTATAAGTGGCAGACCTAGATTTGAATCCTGACAGTCAGCTGCAGACTCTACATACTAATAACCCAGGGTAGGGAGCACGTCTTGTCTCACTTTAGGTTGGGCTCCATGAACAAAATAGTGCCTTATGCATCAAATTTTAGGTTCCACAGAACATCTGATAAACGATAGTGTGTTCTAACACATATTGCTAAACCCATTTTTATTTTAAAATATTTCTGTTCTTTAAACGTCATGTGAAACTTTACAGTGCTGAATCTGCTCTCAAAGATACATTAATTGAAAGGTGATTCTTCTAACAGGACCACTGTACTAGAGTGGACAATGCACTACTCTGGAAACCCCCTTCCTTCACACACACAAAAATCTATACCGCCAAAAAAATCTATACCCTCATTCAATAGTTCATGTTGGAACTGAAAACTAATTGCCAAAGCACACATCAAACATCCAGGTTCTAAATAAGCCAAATGCATCCATCTAAACATACAGTAACTGTATCCTCCTATTGAGTAGACCGAAGGCAATGAGTATCCATCAAACGCTGAATCGACAAAAAGCGATTACGGTAGCTTGCTGTCTTTATTAGAGCATGTATACTTGGTTTTTTGTCCTGAAAATGGAAGTCTAGAGCCAAGTCTTTGTTGATGTACTGGTTTTTGCCAGGCCATTCAGTGACGGGAGAGGTCATGAATAGTGTTAGGGATAAAGGTTTCTGTGTCACACTGTCTGGCTTCTCATCCTGACTTCTTTCACTCACTCAGCTATGGTTCTGAGGAATTTGCTTTGTCTCTCTCTGGGCCACAGTTTTCCCATTTATAAAATGAGGATAATAATACTAGCCACTACTCATAAGTAGTTGTGAGAATGAACAATTCATGTAAAAGCATTTTGACCACACTCAGAATTCAGTAAATGTTTGCTATAATTTGATATTAGAAATCCCTTAAAAACATCTTGCCACAAGTCTGCAACTGCATAGTTAAATATTAACTTTTTCAGTTTGCTAATAATAATAATGTTAAAATTAAATAGGTTACGTAGCAGCATTATTCACAATAGCCAAAAGGTGAAAGCAATCCAAATATCCATTGATGGATGACTGGACAAACAAAATGTGATATGTACATACAGTGGAATGTTATTCCACGTTAAAAAGACAGGAAATTCTGACGCCTGCTGCAACATGGATAAAGCTTGAGGAAAGATATGCGAAGTAAAATGAGCCAGTCACAGAAAAACAAATATCATATGAGTCTACTTGTAGGAAGTACTTAGAGTAGTCAAATTTATAGAGACAGAAAGTAGAATGGTGGTTAACAGAGGCTGTGGGGAGGGGAGATTAGAAAGTTATTGTTTAATGAGTAAAGGGTTTCAGTCAAGGAAGATGAAAAAATTCTGCAGATGGATAGTGGTGATGGTTGCACAGCAATGTGCACATACTTAGTGCCACAGAACTGTACATTTATAAATGGTTGAAATGATAATTCTGTTGTATATATTTAACACAATAAAAATTTAAATAAGTTAATGATTATGAAGTGCTTAGAACAAGACTGGTACATTCTAAGTACTAACTAAGTATTTATAAAATATGCTTTTTAAAAGACAGAAACAAGAAATGGCATACAGCAATTTTTATTAGCTCCAATGATAAGAAGAAAGTAGAGAAAGACCCCAGGGAAGGGCATGGAGGTCTGTTGCGGGCTGCTCTGTCATTCTTACACCAAGAAGTCCAGTACAAAACACTCCACCCTCCACTGGCACACAACAGTCATCCTGCTGCCCTCGTACCAAAGGACCTCGCTACCTACTCCTCATCTGACTCTGTTCTACCACTATTAAGGTTCAGTCTCTGCTGTAAAAATTTCTACTACTCCTTTCCTCCCTTTCTTTAAAGGAAAGAAAGCCATGGGACTCTAGATACATTTATTCCATACTCTCTCTGAGCCTTGTTTTAATATCCATAAAATGGGAACAATAATGGTACTTCTTTCACCGGAAGATAGAATATGAAAATAGAATGCTAATTCTCATTGTTTGAACTTCAGTGGGACAAGTTATGTTTGGCATAGGTGAGCACTCAATAAATGCTCATGTATGCTTTCAGTGAATTCCTGGGAATTGGAACTCATCAGAACCAAGTTATTTAATACAGATCAGACTAGGCTATAAATAGTATGTTTTTAATTTTACAAAATATTTTTAAAAGGAATGACTTTCTTTAAGGAGAGCATGGCAGTCAGTAATAAAGTATCAATAACTTCATGCCAAGCTATCCAGAGCTGTCAGGATTAACTTGCAGTGAAGTGTCTCAAGCTGTTATCATGCCAATGAGTCTTTTATGGCTAATACCCCATGTTGAGGGACACTTTACAAAATGACTTTTACATTTATTATATTCATGTTTAAACTTCACAAGCACCCTATGAAAGAGAGAAAGCCCACACTACCGTGCCTTCTTTACAGCTGGTAAAAGGGAAACTCCGGCAGGTTAAGTGCTTTGTCCATGTTCATATAGAATGTTAGTAGTTGTATCAACACTCAAACCCTAGTCTTCTAACCCCACACCAAGGCTTTTCCAAAAATTCTGACGACTTTTGATTTCTGCCTCTTTCTTTAGAGAAGAAATTCATGAAAAAAAGAAAAACTTCAAAATGTTTTATAAAATGGAGTATGATCTGCTCTGCAATTCCAGGGATTACAATAGATAACTCTGTAGACCAGGGAGTGCAAATCCATGACCCATTTGGACCATAGATGTGGTTGATTAAAGAGGGCCACAAATTCTTTGACTCCCATACCTTAAGAAGTGGGGTGTATGCTCCTCTCTTTGAATCTGGATAGACTCCGCTTTAATGAATTAGCATAGCAGAAGTAATGCTATGCTAATTTCCAGGCTTGATCCTCAAGAAACTACAACTTTCCCTCCTATCTATTGGCTTTCTCTGGGAGGTCTAAATTGCCATGTAGGGTGTCCAGCTATCCCTGCTGGAGCAGCTTCATGAAGAGTCCCTGTATTAGTCTGCTCTCATGCTGCTAATAAAGATACACGTGAGACTGCACAATTTATAAATGAAAGAGGTTTAATGGACTCACAGTTCCACGTGGCTGGGGAGGCTTCACAATCAAGGCAGAAAGCAGAAGAGAAGCAAAGGCACATCTTACATGGCAGCAGGCAAGACAGTTTGCACGTGGGAACTTCCATTTATAAAACCATCATATCTCCTGAGACTTATTCACCACCATAAGAACAGTATGGGAGGAACTGACCCCATGATTCAATTACCTCCACCTGGCCCCGCCCTTGACATGTGGGGATTATTACAATTCAAGGTGAGATTTGGGTAGGGACACAGCCAAATCAGAGGAAGTGGAACCCAGCTGAGCCCCACCTGCAAATGTCCCCACCAAGGTGTCATGTTTGTGAGTGAAGCCACTGGGATCCACAAGACCAGACAGGCTGCCAACTGAACACCATTGAAGTGATCCTTTACAAAGCCAAAAAAAAAAAATTGCTCAGGTGATACCTGCTCAAATTCCTGACATACAAAAGTGTGAGGAGTTACAATAAAATGGTGGTTATTCTAAGCTAGTAAGTCTTGGGGGAAGTTTGTTGCACAATATGTAACCAGGGAATGAGGCGGATGTGTTTTCTTTGGCCCACACAGTAGAGTTTAATTGAATTATTTGCCTACTTTTAAAGGTGGGTGGATTTATTGCAACAATTTGGATTCTAGCTTCCTTTTGAAGTATCAAAATTATGGCAACACAAGGCCTCTTCCCATGCGGTAGTAATTCGATGGAGCTGCATGACAGCCATGTCCCCCAAGCGTTAGCTGGCATTGATGATTGAATGTACTGTTTTATCTGACCCCTTACAGGCATTTATTTTACCTACCTGGCTGTAAAACAGTATGCCTTAGGAGAAAGTCTCATTTTATAAACAAATAAGTAATTCATTCACACAGTTTAATATCTAAATAGGTGAAATGCACTTAACTCAAAAGATATTTAAGCACCATACCTGGATCAATGGCTTCTCCATCAAACACAGTCTCATATACAATGGTTTCCTTTTAAAAAGCACAAAGTATTAGCAATAAAGTCAGCTTGATAAGATTTGTTTTTACAAGTGTTGAAGACCTTGAGCAGATTACTTCTTATAAGTTACCTCATCTTTCTAACTTTTAGAGGCCTTGACACAAAAGGCTTCCCACTGTTTGTAACTCCTCCCAATCCCATCCCCCCACATCAGTCTGCCTGCCATATGCTCTTATCATGTATAGGAGGTGGTATGGGCTGAATTATGTCCCCCAAAATTCATACGTTGAAATCCTAACCCTAACCTCAGAGTGTGACTATATGTGGAGATAGAGTAATTAAGTTAAATGACATCACATGAGTGGCCTTAATCCAATATGATGATGTTCTTTTAAGAAGAAGAGATTAGGACACAGACAGCACAGACTGAAGGATGACTGTATAAGGACGTAGTCAGAAATTGGCCATCTGCAAGCCAAAGAGAGGGGCCTCAGAAGAAACCAAACTTGCTGACACCTTGATCTTGGACTTCCAGCCTCTTGCACTATAAGAAATAAATTTCTGTTGTCTAAGCCACCCAGGCTGTGGTATTTTGTTATGGCAGATGCAGCAGACTCATACAGGAGTTGAGCTGGCATCACTTTACTAAAGGAAGAGGCAGAGGAAGGAAGCATTGAAAAAGAACCAGTTTATGAAACAATGTCATGGTTAGTTAGGATTCAGCTAGAAATGTTCTTGGTTTATGGGGGTGGCAAGCAGAGAGAAAAAAGGAAACAAAGACTAAAAATGCCCTTCCTTGTTCCATTCTACATTTACTTTTCCTGAAACCAGCCTTATCTTGTATAGTCATTTATATGGATCATTTAGTGAATGAGCCTCATCCAATTTGAAGATGGTTTGCATACTTTAGGGCATAGATTTTTTAACCTCTGCTAAGAAATTCCACTATTAAAGAACTTATTTAGATCAATCACATGTATAAACTATTTACAAATACAGTTTTTATTTTATTTTATTATTTTATTTTATTTTTTGAGATGGAGTCTTACTCTGTTGCCCAGACCGCATGGTAATGGTATGATCTCGGCTCACTGCAACTCCACTTCCGAAGTTCAAGCAATTCTCATGCCTCAGCATCCTGAGTAGCTGGGACTACAGGTGTGCCCCACCATGCCTGGATAATTTTTGTATTTTTAGGAGAGATTGGGTTTTGCCATGTTGCCCAGGCTGGTCTTGAACGCCTGACCTCAAGCCATCTTCCCTTCTCAGCCTCCCAAAGTCTGAAATTAAGGTGTGAGCCACCATGCCTGGCCTAGTTTTTATTTTTAAGAATGGTGAATAACATTAAATTTCCCTTTGTCTTGAGTTTTTTTTTTTCTTGAATTCATGTGTAGTACTTGCGGCAGATTTTGACCTAAGCCAAATTCTAAAACTAAACCTGAATTTACAGTTTTGTAATGCATACAAATTCAGCAAAAGGAGATAAATTGAAATCCTTTTACTTTCTATGATAATTGAGTATATTTATCATATGTTTATAAAAAATAATTTTTCATTGAACAACAATTACAGGGAAAAATACAGTCCTTTTTCTTTTACTGTAGAAGGATCACAAAAACATACTTACTGTTAATACTTCTAATTTTTTATTTCTGTTTCCTGTGACAGTACTTTCATTTTGATTTCCGTCACCTATTCCATGATAAATAAATAAAAGTCAGGTACCTGACTTTTAAAAGTGGTATTTTAAAAATCACACAATTCAGGCATAACCATGTAACAATTAGCAATCTGTATCTTACCTGCAATATACTTCATTTCACTGTATGAAAAGAAAATTTGACAAAATATCAGCTTTATTAACACATGACAAAAATAATTTCATTCAATAGTTAGCATATGATTATCCTATCTCCAAGGAAAAAGAAATACTGTATAAGAAAGAATAAAATGGTCTTCATTAACCATCACCACCCGCTTCACTGCACCATAAATAAATTTTATTTAGTTAATAAAAATTGTTATCCAACGCTATTTTGGAAGTCACGATATTCTGTACTCTGAAGAAATATTTTTAGATAGTGAAGAAAGTGGCTACATTTTCTGTCCATTTATTTGGCCTCTCTGCCCTGCTCCAGATAGACTTAAAACCAGTCAGATGTGTGGAGAGGGTGCCTACATTTATCACCCGTCTTCAACTAGTTTCTGGTGCTTCTCAAACATCTATGAAAATAATCAAAATAATATGAAAAATTGTTTGTTTGTTGGCTCACAAATTTATTTGTTTAAAACATAATTTTGGCCAGGCACAGGGGATCACATCTAAAATCCTAGCACTTTGGGAGGCCGAGGCGGGTGGATTGCCTGAGCTCATGAGTTCAAGGCCAGCTTGGGCAACATGGTGAAACCCTGTCTCTACTAAAATACAAAAATTTAGCCAGGCGTGGCAATGTGCGCCTGTAATCCCTGCTACTCAGGAGGCTGAGGCAGGAGAATTGCTAGAAATGGGGAGACAGAGGTTGCAGTGAACTGAGATCACACCACCCCACTGCAGCCTAGGAGACAGAGCAAGACATCATCTACAAAAAAAAAATAATAATAATTTCACAGAAAATCTGTTTCAGATGTTCTAAGGTGGAACTCAATAATACGTTGTTGCTGTTTTTCAAAGAAAGCTCCCCAACTGTTTCTGACATAGAGTAGGCTTGAGATCACTGGTAAAAAGGAACCATCAAGTTTCGTTTCCCAAGTGCTTTCCTCTGCCCTTCAAAAGCATATAGAAGCTCTCGGAGTAAGTTCACCAAACCTCAGCTGGTTTTAGCTCTTTATATCAAAAGCTTAGAAAGAAAAATCACATACTTGGGTTTGGCCTTGGAGACTTCCTTGGTCATTTTCTGACAGCATTCCGTAATGTTCCCGTATTTCCAAAGCAGGAAACATAGCCAGGAAATCAACCCAGCAAGGAAAATAGCCATCAGAGTGAAGATGAAAGGAATGTACCAGTCATTGGATTTGTACGTGTTTATAGTCGTGTACATGATGGTCAGACCTTTTCTTTGATGGGAAATATCATTTCAAAGCAAATAGAGTGTTAGTTGTTTTCAGAAAGCAACTGTTTATACATAGTCGCATCGGTACAGAGCCATAGTCCTTTAAAGTAACACGAAGATATTGACTCAGATATACGTGTTTTCTAAAATACTACAGGTAATACTGAGGAACACCCTTGAATAGAGAAGGCACAAAATAAAGGATGTGAAGACTTGAATTGTATGCAATGACCACTCTGTGATTTTGAACAAACAATTCCTCCTCTTTGTTTTCAGTTTTCTTGTCTGTAAAATCAAGAGTTTTCACTAGGTGATCTCTGAGGTCCTTTTAGGCTTATATCCCCCTATTATCTACTCTACACACAATAAACCCTTTTGTGCAGCTTAAGAGAGCAATGTGTTCTTGAAATCAAGCATTCTGGTGAGAGAAGTTACCATCCATGTTTATTCAATGCTTCTATTTCAAAGAATAGAAAATGACAAAATACACTAACCATAAAGTCTACTAAACAGACTTTATCTGTGCATTACTCAGGAGCCATTCTGGAATTCTGCAGAGGCTTTACATACCTATTTTTTAAATTATAAAATAATAACAGGTCTATTAAAGGTCGTAGGGTTTGGATTGGAGATAAAATGAAATGATGGGCTGGGCACGGTGGCTCAGGCCTGTAATCCCAGCACTTTGGGAGGCCAAGGTGGGTGGATCAAGAGATCAGGAGTTCGAGATCAGCATGAACAACATGGTGAAACCCTGTCTCTACTAAAAATACAAAAATTAGCCAAGTGTGGTGGTGGGCGCCTGTAATACCAGCTACTTAGGAGGCTGAGGCAGGAGAATCGCTTGAACCCAGGAGGCAGAGGTTGCAGTGAACGGAGACACTGCACTCCAGCCTGGACGACAGAGCAAGACTCTGTCTCAAAAAAAAAAAAAATGAAATGATGAATATAATACATGCAGTACAGTGTGTGGCACATGGTATTTGCTCATGACTATGAATATCATGGCCACTAGAGAATAAACTTTCAAAGTATCCATTTGTAGAGATTTTTAACTGATAGAATTCACTGAGTAGCGGGTGCTGCTTGTGGGCAAGACTTTCAGATCATTCAGACGAAATAATTAGTTTCTTAGGAGTTCTCTATGCTCTACCTGCAATTCTCACAAATTCTATTTTACCTCACAATTTATACTCATAGATGCACACTCTAAAATGTGATCCTGTGGCTGGATGGGGTAGTGCCCAAGTAAAAAGGCATCTAGGTGAAGGTGCTGCCCTGAGTAGCTCTTTTTAGATGAAACTCAAACTTACAGAACATTTCCCACACAGAGACCCAAATTAAATTCTATAACTCTTTACTTCATAACTAGTGGTTGGAGGCGGTGGCGTATTGGCTCTTCTCACGTAAATATCTATAACAGCGGTGCCTGTCCTGGGCTTAGTGGATTTGCCATATTTCAAGTTGTCATCAATTATATGCACAATAAGATGGTACTGCCGCTGTACTTCAGCTCTAGATTCAAAATTGAAGGGATTCTTCACAATTAATTTTGGAGTATTTGAACCTCGAGTTGGGTCAAATCCGAAATGATGGTTCTCGTTTCCTTTAAAAGGGATAATTGAAAAGTTAGAATTATTTTAAGGTATATTGAAAGGTTTTCTAAAACTACATTAAATTACTATTAAAACACCATAGGTATAAATGTTTTAAAAATTTCCATGGCACCATGAGTTTTTAAAAAATTGAGATCAAATGAGCAACAAATTCAATTGGTTAGGAAAAAAATATTTTAAAGATTAAGATAATGAGTTTGATCCCACATATGGTCAGCAAGCTTCAAATTATTATCCAATTACTTTGTCTAGTTGATTCTCCTTTTCTTCTACTCAGATCAGTTTCATTCCCATCTTCAACTTAGTCTAGATCAATATCAAATGATCCGGTCAGATCATAAATATCTGTTGAGCCCCTTCGAATTTTAAATTATCTTCACAGCCCTGGAGACACTGTTGTAAACAAGATACACATGCTCTCTACCTTCACAGAGCTTATCACCCAGCAAGGAAAGAAGACATCAAACTAGGCTTTATACTCAATTGCCAATGCGCTTACTGATTTCCAAGCTTCTACTCCATCAGATACATGACAGCAGGTCTGACCTCCATACTTTAAATAGGTCTCCATGTTATGCTGTTTCATGATACCCAGTAGTTTTCCATTTTAGAACTTATCACAGTTTTTAATTTTATAATTGCTGGTGTTACTGCTGGTTTAATAAACAATTAGTGCCATGAATATCTGTCTTGTATACTTCTGTGTACCCATTTCCCAGCACAGTGCCTGATACATAGTTGGTCCTAATAAATGCCTTTCATAAAAAATAAGATGACTTAAGTTGCATGGATCTATATAAATCCAAAATAACACAGTTTGAAAACACGTATCCTTCTGAGTTTGTACTAATAGCAACAACTCGAAAGTTGGCTGTTGTTAGCCAGCATCATGGACAGCAGACTTCATTCCTTGTAACTTAACCTTCAGCATTTCCCATCCAGGTCCAAACTTTGTTGTCAAAGCACCTGTAAAATTACTGATACTTCCATTAAAGGAGCAATGAGATTTGATATGTAAAAGTAAAAAGGATAAGGATGCCTTGAGGAAGCAATGCTATAGATATTAATAGTTTAACCCTTATAACCATAGTCATTTCTGAGGTTATATATGATGTCTAACAGGGCAAAACTACTGTCAGTTTGACATATGCTGGTGATTAAAATAAATAATAAAATTATCCACCAGAAACCATCTCAAAATGCATTTCAAAATCTTGCGAATCTCTGTCGTGGCAGTTTAGGGTGAAGCCATTGACGTTTGTCCCAACGACAACATTGTCAAAAATGAGCATCTTATATTGAGAGGGTGTGCAGACAGGTGCTTCATCATTCTCATTTTCAATGTCAACAGTGATCTGTCAGCCATGAGAGAAGAAACATCAAATATGCATCATGTGACTATTTATACACAATATCAGAAATAAGCATATGTGCAGAGACCAATCATTTGCAATTATTAAATAAAAAGTCTAGAGTTTTGGATTTGAAAAAATGTTCCTGCAGATTGGAGTTCTGACTGTCAATCAACTAGTCAGTGGTTTAATATTCCTGGGTCAACTATGACATTCAATGTAGATGTTAGGGAGGACTTTGGGTTCATTACATGAGCTTGTGGAAAGCTTACAAATTATGTAAATGATGAGAAAGGAAAGCTGAAGAATGATTCCTCTAAAAATTATAATCCCGTGAACTCTTTAAATATCTATGCTTAATCACATAGATAAGTTGGCTTCCTCTTTCTCAACTTAAGAGTCTCCTCAGTACTATTCTCTCAAACTCAATTTTTTTTTTGTAACAATATGATTTCTTCAAAGTATTCTCTGACCTTAATTTAGGGTCTGTTATCAACCTTTTCTTAATTAAAATACCATAAGCCAGGAAACTATAATTTACACGGAAATAGATCAAAATATCAAGAATTTTTAAATGTCAGTGATCGAATGACAGCCTAGAAAGGTTATCTACCCCTCTCTTAGATGACTAATAACTTTCTCAACCATACTTGCAGAAGAATCTCTGGTGTGCCCATATTTGCAAGTATTATCTTTTAAAAATGTTTTTCTGTAATGTTTTAAAAACAGCTAAATTCTTAAGGAATGGTTCATTCTTTAATGTTATTTCTATAGACTGAATACAGCTATGTGTCCCATTAAATATGTGAGACATTTTTACATGATAACTAAATGGGATTTAAGGAGATTTCTTGAATAGTTCAGCACTATTTCCATTACATCACAGAAACAGATCAGAAATCTTTATTAAAACTCTGGGCCTGACACTTATTGGTGCCTTTATTTGGCACAATTGATTCACCTTTGCTTTATTCATCTGCAAAAAGCAGATCTCAATCTCTGCCTTCTCAAGACTGTTAGAAGGATCAGTTCATTCACTCAGTGAGTATTTATTAAAAACTTACTGTATGCTAATCACTGATCTAGACACGGAGGCTACAGTGGTAAACCAAAAACAAAGATCCTGATCTATTATACTTTATTCTAATGAGGAAAGCAAAGCAATAACTATATTGACAAATAAATATATTAGGCAATATCATATAGTAAACTGGTGCTATTTGGGTTAAGGAGATAAAGAATAGCTGATGGAAGCATTTTAAGAAGATCTCTTTTTTTCACCCACTCACCTATTCCCTCTCACTCACATTTGTTACATATCTTTAAGCATGCATGTATCCTCACAGAATATGCAGCTTTTAGCCGTATAATTTCGACTTGCCTAAATGATATGGTGTTATAGACATTTTGTGTTTCCTACTTTTCTCACCCAATGCCATATATGTGCTTTCCATGTTTCTGTTTGCAGAACTCATTTGCTATTTCTTGAGTCTCTATGCCATAGTATGCATCTACTGTATTTACTTGTTCATTTCCATAATGATGATGAACATACATGGATTACTTGAAATACTCACCATTACACACAATGTAAAAGGCCCCTATAAACAAATCTCATTTGGACATAGATATGATTAAAGTGAGAATGTGAGCCAATGGAAGATAAGCATTACAGTCTTGGGAAGAGGTTCTGAGGTAAAACATTCTTGGTGCATTGGAAAAACAGCGAATTGTTCATGTGGCTGTATTAAAGTAAGTAAGAGGGAGAGAGCTAGGAGCTTAGGCAGTAAGAGAAAGTTATAAGCTTCTCCATTCTCCATTGTTATAACTGTTTGAGCAGTCTGATTTTAATAAGTTAGAATTTAATACAGCATCTCTATAATATTAAAACCTGGGTCTCTCTACTTACCATGGTCATTGCTGTGCGAGAGTGAAACCTGTCACAGTCCACAGCTTCTACGATGAGGTTATGTTGCTTCACGGACTCATAATCTGGCTGTGTGGTAAGCTGAATCATTCCAGAGACAGGGTGAATCCAGAATCTTTGTATAACCTGAGTGTCTCCACAGACTATTTTGTATGTCACACAGTTTGGTGGGTGGTCTTCATCAATGGCAATCACTCTTCCTATTTTGTAGAATGCTGTCAATAACATTTGATAAGGTTCATTCTCATCATGCAGATACACTACTTTAAAAACCTTAACATGTCTTTGCTTTCCAAATAGTATCATAGTTTCTCAAAGGATCAGCCTCTATTCTTTTAGACAATGAAATATGTTTGAAGGCCTCCAACTCTACATAATGGAAGACAAATTTAGAGAAAGTCCTCCATCACTTTAAACCATTTGTCTTGAGTCAAATAACATGAGTTTACAGTAACTTTGCAATAATAATGATTAGCTCATATGCACTGCATGAATATTTTCTACTAGGCATTGTGCTAAGATTAGCATCAGATAATGGTTCACAGCACAGACTCTGAAACCAGACTGCCTAGATTTCAACTCTCAGCTCTGTCATTTATTTGTGCAACTCATTGGAGATTCTGCAACCTCTCCAGGCCTCACATTCTTTATCTGCAAACTAGGAATAATAACTACCATACAAAGTTGTTGTGAGTATTGAATGAGCTAAAATCTATAAAGCACTTAGAATAGTGCCTGGTATATAAGTAAATACTAAGTAAAAATTAGCTATTATTTCATTGAGTTATCTCATTGAATCTTCTCAACAGCCTTATGATATATCCACTATTACTGTCCTCATTTTATAGATTATGAAATTAGGTCCAGTAGTATTAAGTAACTTGCTCACCATCACAGAGCTAGTAGTGGTAGAATCAGGATTTAAATTGGTGCCTGATGATTCCACAGCCCATATTTTTAAAATCACTTTTCTGTAATTCCACTGTGCAATACCCCCACACGATCTCTTAGAAGAGAAATGGGTATGTTCTATTGGCTGCATTATTATTATAATTGTTATTTTGAGACTGGGTGTCATTCCATCACCCAAGTGGGAGTGTAGTAGTGCAACCATGGCTCACTACAACCTCAGCCTCCTGGCTCAAGTGATCCTCCTGCCTCAGTCTCCTGAGTAGTTTGGACTATAGGTGCATGCCACCACACCTAGGTAATTTTTTTAAAAAATGTTTATAGAGATGAAGTCCCACTATGTTGCCCAGACTGATCTCAAACTCCTGGGCTCAAGCAATCCTTGCACCTTAGCCTCACAAAATGCTGGGATTACAGGCATGAGCCACTGCATTCAGTCTAGACCCAAATGATTTATCCTTCCTATGTTCACACTTTTTGCCATGTAACCTCATAGTGTCCCTCCCATTCTGACTTCACAACTTGTTTTGGCTAATGGAATATTAGCAAATCCGATGCAACCAGGAACCTGAAAGGCACTTGCTTAATCAGGTTTGTCTTTCTTGTACACTTCTTTTCTTTTCTTTTTTTTTTTTTTGAGACAGAATCTCACTCTATCGCCCAGGCTGGAGTGCAGTGGCATGATCTCAATTCACAGCAGTTCACTGCAACCTCTGCCTCCTGGGTTCAAATGATTCTCCTGCCTCAGTCTCCCAAGTAACTGGGATTACAGGTGCCCACCACGATGCCTGACTAATTTTTTCTTTTTTTTGAGAAGGAGTCTCACTCTGTCCCCCAGTCTGGAGTACAGCAGCGCGATCTCAGCTCTCTGCAACCTCCACCTCCTGAGTTCAAGCAATTCCCCTGCCTCATCCTCCAAGTAGCTGGGATTACAGGTGCCCACCACCATGCTCAGCTAATTTTTGCATTTTTAGTAGAGACAGGGTTTCACTATATTGGCCAAGCTGGTCTCAAACTCCAGACTTCAGGTGATCCTCTCACCTTGGCCTCCCAAAGTGCTGGGATTACAGGTGTGAGCCACTGCTCCTGGCCTCTTGTGTACTTCCTCCTTTTTCCTGAGGACATGGCTCAGGCTAGCCTGCTGGAAGATGAGAGAGAAGCCAAACCTTCCCAGTCACCTCAGCCAAAGCCAGAATAGATCAGCTGAAAGCTAACCAACTCTTACAATTTTGAGCAAGTCCAGTCAAGACCAGAAAGACAAGACAGCCATTTCTTAGACTCTTGAGCTAAATAAATGTTTATTTTTGTATTACACTAATATTTTGTGGGTCTTATTACACAATATACTTATAGTAGTAGGTAACTGGTACCACAGTTTTACTCCTCAATCATTTTTTCCTGAACTGTAAACTCCAGGACAGGCACTTTATCTCTACCATTTAGTGAAATACCACTATATTATGGCTAAGTCACCAACACATGTACAGGACATTTTGGTTACTAACAACCAAGAATAAAAAATTATAATAAAAAAGTGATTTCATTTTTGTCCCCACCACTTTCAACCTGATAGGGTTTCTTTCCCTGTTTGCATCCTCCTTTTACCAAAGTTTCCTATCAGTTTCTAATAATATGTTATTTTTCACTTGTTATTAGTATTTTTTTAATAGAGACAGGGTCCCACCATGTAGGTCAGGCTGGTCTTGAACTCTTGGCCTCAAATGATCTGCCTGCCTCAGCCTCCCAAAGTGCTGGGATTACAGGAGTTAGCCACCATGCCCCACCTAATAATGTATTATTTAGCAGGCAATGCTCATAATACCAAAAACAGGGAACCAATACTCATGAAAAAGAACGTGTTTTATTATGGCAAATCCAGAAAATAAAGAGTCCAACCTATTGCTTGCATAAAATAATTAGTATTAAGAGAAAAGCGTCACAACTGGTACAAGACCATGTAAAATAGATTACAGGGAAAACTGCCATCTCTAACAGACAGTCCTGGGCAAAAATGGTGTCATTTTCACATTTAACACCTGGATAAGTGTAATAGGAAGCTTATTCTTTTGTAGGTGTTAAATTAACCTTTCAATAAAACCCAAAAGCTATATTGAGCATCTTTACCTGAAGTTTAAAATAGAGTAATTATGAAACTCTGCAACTCTGCCAAATTTCTCATCAAAAACTATTGGAATAAAATATATTTTGCCTCGTGACTTGCAACCCAGTGTGATTTAATTATTATGTATTTTCCTTTGAATAATTTCTGATAAAGAAATCTTTTTGGCTATGCCTAACCCCCTATAAAAGTTTTTATGAATTTATCACTTACCATTAGGGAAAAAAAAACTACTTTAAATGTCCATAATTTTGGGGGGAAAAATCCTTATGTAGTCCTCAAATACATTCAAATTTTCTGCGCTAATCAACACAGCATGAAAATGACTTCCACGTTCATGAATTTTTCTAAATGTCTTCAAAGTCTATAAGTTAAATGTTTGGTATTACAGAAGAGTTTATTTTCTGAGTAGTTTTACCTTTCCATTTTTCTCCTTTAAAGCAAATTGCTACTGAGTTGTGAAGTTTTATCTCCTCTTACGGACATCTCAAAAACCAACTCTCACCTAAATTTACTCAGTTTATGTACTATGGTGGAGAAAATGAAGGAACAGTTTTTTAAAAAGAAAGGAAGAAAGAAAGAGAGAGAGAAAGAAGAGAGAGAGAGAAAGAAAGAGAGAAAGAAAAAGAGAGAAAAAAGAAATTCTGACACATTCTGCATTGCAAGCACTCCATAAACGATAGTGGTTATTATTATTTGCAATGGTGTTATGGCTATTTTAGTATGTGTCATGTAGTTAACATACTATAACTATCAGCTAATCCTCCTCTTAACTCTTATAAAATAATTATGGCAATCTATTTTGTAGGTGAGAATTTGAAGACACATTGAGATTATGTGACTTGCTTTGAGTCATTTAACTAGCAGTTGAACCTAGTTCTATTTGACCCGAACTCTCATAGTTTTTTGCTCTATCAGTGTCCTCTCTTTTAAAGACCTAGAAGTCCTCTATCTAGGACAGCAGGTCACTAGACAACTATTTGGAGAATAGTACACATAGGGATGACCCACTCAACTCTTTGTATGAATTCTCAGTACTTGTTTTCAGACCTCTATTGGTCTCAGTCATCGAAATCCATCCAAGAAAACCAACCTGTAATACTAAACAGAGAGCTGGACCAGAAATTTGGAAGTTTTCATTTAGCTACAATCAATCTCTGAGACTTATCAGCCATGTGACTTTGAGTAAACCCATTTCTTTCTCCACTCCAATTTTCTCATAGTGAAAAAAAAAAAAAGAATCCTTTAGACCTTCCAAATCAACAATATTATGACTGAAAATTCTCAATCCTTCTTCTCAGTCATCAATGAAGTATTAAATTGTGTTTAAGAAAACATGTAAGTGTTCAACACATTTAGAGTATTTTACCTTCAAACTTTATTAAATTTCAGGAAAACTTCAGTTAGTTGGAAAGAAACTGACATGAAACACTTGCTTCTCCTAAAATGGCATTTTTTAAAATGCCAGTCTCAAAAGGCAAAACTATGGAGACAGTAAAAAGATCGGTGGTTGCTAGGGATTGGGGGAAGGGAGAGATAAAAAGGAAGAGAACAGAGAATTTTTAGGACAGTGAAACTACTCTGTATAATCATATAATGGAAGATGCATGTCATTTTACCTTTGTCCAAACCCATGAAATATACAATGCCAACAGTGAACCCCAATGTAAACTGTTAACATTGGGTGATAATGATGTGTCAATGTAGAGTCATCAAGGGTAAAAACACACTACTCTGGCAAGGGGTGTTGATAATGGAGGAAACTGTGCATGTCAGGGGCAGGGAGAATATAGTACATCTCTGTACTTTTCCCTCAATTTTCCTGTGAACCTAAAACTGCTCTAAACAAGAGTCTCTTTTTTGAAAAATGCAAGTCTCTATTTTTAAATCTTGCCTGGTTCTATTAACTTTGGGAGGTCATGGAATCCCTTTTGTAAGTTGATTAGGCTATGGAGCTTTCCCCCAGAGTCTCGAAGCCCATTTTCATACCCTCTGCTGCAGATTTACAATTTACAAGCCAGGAAATGATTAGATGATTGTGAACTATTTAACTTTTCACTCATCATCATGCTCTTTTAACTCTAAAACTCCCTGGAGCTGGAAGATTACACTGTTGACCACCACAGAGAAATGACAGAATATGAAGAAAGGAAAGAAGTTATTGTAACGAGGCTCTATCAATACAAGATTACTCAAAAATCAATATTGAATACTTCCAAAAGTCCATAGATGGGATGGGGAGGGGGTTAAAGGGGACCAGAATCCTGTTTACAATACATTCAATTTATATGTTACTTTTCTGGATTGTCTAGTCATACATTGCAAGATCAAGCCGTATTATATTCCAGAACCAGGGTATAACAGATGTGTCTTTATTTCACAGAGAGGTTAAGAACATCTCCAAAGCTGCATAGTGAGGCAAACAAAAAAATAAAATCCAAATACAGCCCGGGTACAGTGGCTCACACCTGTAATCCCAGCTCTTTGAGAGGTGGAGGCAGGAGGATTGCTGGAGCCTAGGAGTTCAAGACCAGCCTGGCCAACATGGCAAAACCTCATCTCTACAAAAAATACAAAAATTAGCTGGGCATGGTGGTGTGCACCTGTAGTCCCAGCTACTTGGGAGGCTGAGATGGGATGACTGCTTGAACCTGAGAGGTTGGTGCTGCAGTGAGATGTGATTGCACCACTGCACCCCAGTCTAGGCAACAGGGTGAGACTGTGAGAAACAAAGAAAGAACTAAGTTTATTTTATTTTTAATAATAAATATTAATAATAATCAGGTCATCAAATTCCTGCAAATTTAACAATTGGCTTTTGCAAGCCAGTATGATTCAACTCCAGCACACAATTGGTTCCATCCATCCCTTGAAGAATTCAGGTCAAACCTGAAAGTAACGCTGAGGAAAGGATGTGTTCCACTCTTAGATGACAGAATATATCAGTATGACCTCTGCTGTCTCTTCTAAAGTTAACATTCCTTGATCTATACTAACAAATGTGTCCTACTTCATATGCAATTCATGTCTGAGATAGAACCCTGACCAAGACCTTGACTCTGGACATAAAATCAAGACCCCAGATGTTCACGGGGTTGAATTGCATGGACAATGACCACATCATTTCTATCTTCTTTGCATTTAGATCTAATTTAAAGCCAAGGGGGTAGATAAACAGAATAAAACTAATATTGTGTAATTTTTTATTACAAAAATCTTACATCATGAAATTTTAAGTAGGTCTTTGGTGAGCCATCAAGATGATACACTGAAGGTGTTACCAATGAAAAGTGCCTTGTTCTTAAGCATCTAGGATTCCATAATGCTCTCTTATTTGCTTGTATTTTGTAAATGTACATGCTTTTTTTCCATTGACCTCCTCATTTGAAATGTGGTAGGCGTTTCCTTCTGCATGCTTCAACACCATAGACTCGGGGAATCTCTTACCTCCTGATGTTTCCGGAACAGAGAACGAATAGTGTCCAGCTTTAAATACAGGGCTGAAGTCATTGGCAGGAGCAACCTTCACAATGATGGTCACAGTTACTGTAAAATTGAACACTGAATAAATGCTTTGTTGTTATAGTTTTATTCCACAAACAAGCTCCCCATGCCCCCATGAACAGGCTTAGCATGGAATTTTGAAACTGGAATGGGATTCCCTCTCCTCCCAAGTAATCCCTGCTCCCAGATTCTACGTTCTCAAGGAACCCAAATAAATTTTGGTGCTAGCCAAAGCAATTTATTGAAAAATACATAAAGTATTGCATGTCATATTTTATTTTATATAGTAGAAATATGCATGTATTTACATACATCATTTTAAATATATAACTATATATTTCACACAAGATGGTTTATTGTATTTTTCATGGGTACAATCTCCTCCATTAAAGAGTTTGTTGGGGTGTCACTCTCAACCCAGCATATGACATTCTCAATCCTGCTTTTAATATATGTCCTAGAAAGTGGAAGGGAAAGAGACTCAGAAAATCATGTTCAAGGCTCAGCCTTGAACATACACAATTGTTCCTCAGTATACACGGGGATCATTTCCAAGGCCCTGGCATATAACAAAACATGCACATGTGCAAGTTCTGCAGTCAGCTCTGCAGAACCTGTGGATAAAAAAGGTTGGCTCTCTAATATTTGCAGTTTTCGCATACTGAATACTATATTTTGGATCAGCGTTTGGTTGAAAAAATCTGTATATAAATTGACCTTCACAGTTCAAATCCATGTTATTCATGGTTCACCTGTACTCTGAGGCCTTCGACTAGCTTAATTTTTCCAAGGCTCAGTTCCCTCATCAAAGAAATAAAAGGAAGAACATCAATTTCAATCTCCTACATCACAGTGTGGGCATGAAGACAAAATGAGATCATGCCCAAGAAGGTATGTTTAAACTATAAGAGGTTAAGTAAAAAGAAGTTATTAAATTTTATTTACCTAAGCCAAATGTTTGTATAATGTGTGTTATCAAAAATACTCTGTATTTCAGATGAACAAGCTTAAACTATCATAACAAAGTTGTCAAAAAGAAGGAATTTGATGTCCCAACAAAAAAGCAAGAAACTTGCAAACAGGGAACATTTTTAACAGAGGTAAAATAATAATTAACATTTACTGTAAAAGTTGCTGACTTGCCATTGGTATTATTGTTCCCATTTCACAGGCAAGAAAACTGAGGTTCACAGAGTTAAGTTCTTAGACAAAGATCACAAAACTTGTAAGTCACTGAATGAGTATTAAACCAAGCTATGTCCACCAGCATCTCCCAAAATATCTTCATTGAGATGCGAATGTGTCAAATGTAGAATCCTAATTAAACAGTAAAATATTTATTTCTGGCAATACTTCTTCGGCTTTGTAATATGTCACTAGGTATTATAAACATCCAGGTATGCCTTGCTTCTCTAACTTATTTTACCACAGAATTCTTCCTTAGTGGATTATCTTGTAGAATTCATGTTCCAAAGAATGTGGGTATTGCCTCTGCTGAAAATCCATGCCATGTGTGTCAAACAAAAAAATTTAATCTGGGCTTCATAGAACCTTTACTTCAGGGAATCTGTGACATTCATTGTATTTTGGTATGTGTTGTTACGTGCAATTTTCGAGGGATAGGATTCACAGCTCTTAACAGAATCTCAAAGGTGTTCATGCCCTCCAAGAAAGATTAAAAGCACCATTCCACGAAGACAGGCGATTTACATTAAAGCCTCTATATTTCCTACAATGAATGCCATTTATGTGTTGCAAGAGCATATGCCATTTATAGCTCTGCCATGATTTTTACTGTATCCATAAACACTCAAAACTATACTAATTGGCTGGCCTGCAAAAATGTACTGAACCACTTGCGCCGCGTTGCAAGCATCCTTTATTCACATCCTTTGAATGTGTTGGGTGTGAAGAGAACTAGAGAGAACGGGAATTTATTACTGTGAGAAATGTCTTTCCTCTTCAGTATTGGGGAAAGGCTCAAATCTGGTGAGAGAGAAAGATTCTTTTTTGATTAGAAAATCAATGTGAGCAGCTGCAAGGAAAAGTATCCATCCTGAAAGGTCAGTTGGGCTACAATATAGGCTTCTTGCATGAGAACACAAGTTAGCAACAGAGAAACCACAACTAGAATACTTCTGGGCATAATGTCATGCTAAAGTCCCTGTCCCTTAAACATCACCTTTCCACGTGGTTGAGTAATTTAAGTATATAAATCACCTTTGTAGACTTAGCCTCATTAAAACTCTTCTATCAGTGAGTCAAGAGGGACTTAATGAGCCCTAGATGTGTTGCAAACATATTAAGTTTAGCATTAAGTTCCCTTTGGTTGAAAATGTATAGATCATCACTCCACTTTTATCCATCCATGACAGACAAAGCACTGTTTCTCATTGCTCTCTGATGCAATCTCAGAATCCTTTTCAATGATCCAGCAATCACCACCAATGATTCAGACTTCTCACAAGAGAATAAACTCAAATGCCACCCCATTCTAGGCTCTCCTTTACATTCTACTACTAAACTTATGTTTGCAACCCAAACACCCACATCGTATATCTTTGATGCTAACCACCTCCTCGATTACCTATTATCATATTTTCCAAATACAATAGATGCTTGACCTTAATAACAAATGTATCCAGAAAATTTTGAGAATTCCTATTTTCACAAATACCTCTATAGCCAACAAATTCACTCTTAAAATCCTAACACGTAGGTGGATATGTAAATGACCCTTTGGGGCACTTGTATGTTCCGATGTGTAGAATAACAAGCAAAGGGAAGCAGGTGTCAGGTGTTTAAACTGGGCCTCTCTCTAAGTACTCTGCTTTAGATCTATAGCTCCCAATTCAAATATGTACCAAAGAGTGGTTCACAATGAGCAAAACTACGACTGTTAAATCCACAAATACCAAGCATTTTATGATCATACAACCTGGGTGGACTTAATCTCACTGTGCCAAAGACTCATTTTAACACAGGCTGACCCAAAATGGTGGGATAGTTATGAAAAGACCAAATGGCAGAGAGGCGTAACCATGCCCCGCACCTCTGTGAAGGGCCTGAGCTGTGGAACTTGGCAAGTAACTCACAATTTGCTTTAATATGGCTTATATATATATATCATACAAAATAATTCAAATAAAATACTTTTAAAACATCCTATTATCTATATGTTCAGACTACATGTTGCCCAATATCTGGCTCTTTTCAGATGAGAAGTGTCTGGCATTACTAGGCATAAAGTCATTCCAGTGTAAAGCATAAGAGTTAGGCCTACATATCACCTGCCCCTTCTACCTCCAAGGATCTCTAGCCAGAGTGGTATTTACGAATTGCGTATTCCTTAAGGCATTGTTAAGAGGCAAAAGAGACTTCCCAGGTCTAATGAAAACTTCCAACATGAGTCTACCTAATTCTTCCCTTCCTCCTTCACCTAACTTCACAAAACTGCCTCATGTATAATGAATCTTTACATTTTAAAATCTAAATTGAAAAGTCTAAAGCACAGACACTTACTGCTTCTTGAAAAGTTTATCCAGATTACCTGTATGGGAAGGACGTAGGTCATCAAATACTGAAATCATCATTTCATAGGTATGTCCAGCTGCAATTATCTCTGGGTCTTCATAGTCCAGGTTTTTAGCGACCTTGTAAAACAAGATTATTTCAGTAAAAATGACCAAATTTTTTAAATGTACATGTTTTCTGTTTTGATTTTTTAAGATGGGGGTCTCACTATGTTCCTCAGGCTGTTCTCAAATTCCTAGGTTAAACAATCCTCCCACCTTGGTCTTCCAAGTAGCTGGGATTACAGGAATGTGCCCCTGCACACCCACCTAAATGTACATATTTCAAGTAATACACCACTCTGGAAAAGGCAAGCATATCACCATTTTCATTTCACAGGGATGGTATCAGAATATGCCCAAGACTGACACAGACCAACACATAAAAGTAGGTATTTTTGTGAAACAAAGGCACATCTTGGATTTCTTTCCAGTGTAGCTTACTTTTGGACAAAGCATCGCGGCTATGGGTTGTATCTTGTCTTTATTGCATGTTAATGGTGGGTTGTATAATAATGAATAATATATGGGTTGTATCTTTATTGCATGTTAATGGTGTGGCCTTAGGCAAAATATTTAAAAAGATAAAATATTTTGTTTCTTTCCAAACTTCAATGCGGGGAAAAAAGAGAGAAAATATTCTGAATGTACCCTATAAGTGATAAAGCACTATAAAAAATGTAAGTTATTCTTATTATGATGTTTCCTTATCATTTTAAAAATACCTATTGAGTACTAATTATGTTCCAGGTACAGTTGTAGGCACTAGGCATATAGCAGTTAATAAGATAGTCCCCATCAGAGACTTGAAAAGAGCCCTAATTTAGTAGCATGGACATGAATCTCACTTGGCATAAATTGGAATGGATCAATAGGACATCAAGTACCCAGGTGTTCAGGAACAACTATGTTTAAAAAATTTTAGAATCTGACTCATTTGTCCATCCATTCAAGCACATTGAGTACTCACTATGCACCAAGCAGGTGTTGATACACAAAAATAAACCACTTAGAAATGTGTAAAGTTTACAATCTAATAAGACCAACAATGAAGGAGGCAATTACAACAGAGTCTAACAGGTGGCTTGATAGGGAATGTACAATTTATAATGCAAGCCCTTAGCAGGAAAAACTAAGCCAGTTATGGCAATAAAATAAAGCTCTTAGGAATAAGTAACATTTAATATCTGTGGAATAATTATGCAAATATAAAAATAAATTAGAGAGAGATCCAAGCTGGCTGATCACTAGCAGCTCGGGATTGTAGCTCCCAGTGAAAACGCAGAGAACGAGAGGACACCACACTTTCAGACAAATTTTTGTTGCTCACAGACCAGGAGATTCCCAGCGGAGAAGCTCCTTGGGTTGCCAGCGCGACCCTTGTGGCCGGCGTGGCGGTTTTGCTGGTGCCTAGGCGCGGCGGTTCTTGGTGCAGAGTCAGAAAAGCACCATCAATCTTAACGCCGCTGTTTTGGCCGGTGCAGTGGGTTGCTCAGATTCCAGCGCTGGGAATCAACAAGTTGCACGTCCACTCAGAAACCAAATTAGAAAGTCGGTAATTACAAAGACAACAGATGGATAAATTTATAACGAAGGGAAGAAACCAGCCTAAAAAGGCTGAAAATACCCAAAATCAAACGCCTCTCCCTCTACAGGGGATCACATTTCCTCATCAGCAATGGAACAAGGCCTGATGAAGAACGAGTGTGTTCCATTAACAGACGCAGGCTTCAAAAGGTGGGTGATAAGAAACTTCTGTGAGCTAAAAGAACTCGTTCTAACCCGATGCAAAGAAACTAAGAACTTTGAAAAAAGGTTTGACGAAATGCTAATGAGAATAGACAATTTAGAGAGGAATATAAGCGAATTAATGGAGCTGAAAAACACAGCACGAGAACCTTGCGAAGTATGCACAAGTTTTAACGGCTGAATTGATCAAGCAGAAGAAAGGATATCAGAGGTCGAAGACCAACTTAATGAAATAAAACAAGAAGACAAGATTAGAGGAAAAAAGATAAAAAGGAATGACCAAAGTCTCCAAGAAATATGGGACTATGGGCCGGGCGCGGTGGCTCAAGCCTGTAATCCCAGCACTTTGGGAGGCCGAGGCGGGTGGATCACGAGGTCAAGAGATCGAGACCATCCTGGTCAACATGGTGAAACCCCGTCTCTACTAAAATACAAAAAAAAGTTAGCTGGGCATGGTGGCGCATGACTGTAATCCCAGCTACTCAGGAGGCTGAGGCAGGAGAATTGCCTGAACCCAGGAGGCAGAGGTTGCGGTGAGCCAAGATCGCGCCATTGCACTCCAGCCTGGGTAACATGAGTGACACTCCGTCTCAAAAAAAAAAAAAAAAAAGAAGTATGGGACTATGTAAAAAGACCTAATCTACGTTTGATAGGTGTGCCTGAATGTGACGAAGAGAATGAATCCAAGTTGGAAAATACTCTTCAGGATATTATTCAGGAAAACTTTCCCAACCTAGCAAGGCAGGACAATATTCAACTCCAGGTAATACAGAGAACACCACAAAGATATTCCTCAAGAAGACCAACCTCAAGGCACATAATCGTCAGATTCACCAGGGTTGAAATGAAGGAGGAAATACTAAGAGCAGCCAGAGAAAGGTCAGGCTACCCACAAAGGGAAGCCCATCAGACCCACAGCAGATCTCTCAGCAGAAGCCCTACAAGCCAGAAGAGAGTGGGGGCCAATATTCAACATCCTTAAAGAAAAGAACTTTCAACCCAGAATTTCATATCCTGCCAAACTAAGCTTCATAAGCGAAGGAAAAATAAAATATTTTGTGAACAAGCAAATACTCAGAGATTTCATCACCACCAGGCCTGCTTTACAAGCGCTTTTGAAAGAACCACTACACATAGAAAGGAACAACCAATATCAGCCTTTCCAAAAATATACCAAAAAGTAAAGAGCATCAACACAATGAAGAATTTACATCAACTAATGGGCAAAACAGCCAGCTAACATCAAATGGCAGTATTAAACTCACATGTTATTGTTAATCCTAAATTTAAATTGACTAAATCCCCCAATCAAAAGACACAACCAAAACCCATCGGTATACTGCATCCAGATCCATCTCACATGCAAGGATACACAAAGACTCAAAGGGATGGAGAAAGATCTACCAACCAAATGGAGAGCAAAAATAAATAAATAAATAAAAAGGAGGAGTTGCAATTCTCACCTCTGATAAAATAGACTTTAAAGCAACAAAGATTAAAAGAGGCAAAGAAGGACATTACATAACGGTAAAAGGATCAATGCAACAAGAAGAGTTAATGATCCTAAATATATACACACCCAATACAGGAACACCCAGGTACATAAGACTTATAAAGAGACTTAGACTCCCACACAATAATAGTGGGAAACTTCAACATCAATATTAGACAGATCAACGAGACAGAAAATTAACAAGGATATCCAGGACTTGAACTCAGATCCGGAACAAGTAAACTTAATAAACATTTACAGAACTCTCCACTTTAAATACACAAAATATACACTCTTATTAGCACCACATCACGCCTACTTACAGGTTTAAATGAAATATTGGTTGGCTGCTTGTTATCTTCTTCCCTCATTTTTTCCTGTCTCCATTATTAAGCACAATTATTGGTATAAAAGAGGTTTTCAATACCCATTTTTAGGCTGCATTCTAGCCTGGGCAATAAAGCAACACTTCCGTTCTCTCTCCCTCTTCCTTTTCATCTTTCTTCCTCTCCATTCTTTTTTTAAAAAATTATTTATTTATTTATTTATTTTTCTTTCTCTTTTTTTTCTTTCAAAAAAAATAAATAAATTAATTAAAGGGGGGTAATGGTGGAGATAGTTATTCCAATATAAAGTGAACATATGAAGGCCCAAATCATAGCATCATGTTTTCAAAACCTCCATCTTCATCCAAACTTCATTTTAAAAGGTAAGAGTTTAGCATTGTATTTCAAAATGAGTATCAACCCAGGAAATCTCTTGGCTCAGTGCCTAAGCTTCCAAAGTTCACAATATATGCAAAAGCTCAGCTTGTAGCTTATTGAGTTTGCCACGAAAATCTGGGGTTAGGGCCAGAGAAAGAAAAAGGTTACCAATGGTCTCAGCCATGTATTCCATGGTGGCTTCCCCACCATGTGTGGGGAAGGTGCTTGGTGATAAGTGGGTTATGAAACTTAACAAGGATTAGCACTTTGAAATAAAGACCTATGGAAATAGAAGTTAGAAGGAGAGATTTCTTCCATGACAGAATTCCATGCTGGAAAGGAAAAAGAAAACTTACTGTGTCCATCATCTGCCAATGAAAAGTATAATCTCCAGGGGATGTAGAAAAGGGGAGCTGATCAACTGCTCCCAATGCCAGAAGAATGAGCCATTGCCACACACATAGTAACACAGACTTAACTCTAAGGAACTCAGTGTGCTTTTTACCCTTTGATTCATTTCCACAGCTAACTAGGACACAAATTACTTGGTGCTTTTTATTTATTATAAGAAGGAGAAACTGATGGCAGGCAGCAAGGTAGTAAAGAACTTGTCCAAATGCCTTCCAGCAAGACAGCAGAGGACCGCAAAGCCAAGGGAGGATCGCTTGAAGCCAGGAGTTCAGGACCAGCCTATGCAACACAGCAAGATCCTGTCTCTACAAAAAATTTTAAAAATTAGTTGGGTATGGTGGCACATGCCTGTAGTCTTAGCTATTGGGGAGGCTTAGGCAGGACAATCACTTGCGCACAGGAGTTCAAGGCTGTGTGAGCTATGATCACACCACTGTACTTCAGCCTGGGTGACAGAGCAAGACTCTATTTCTAAAAAAAATATTTTTTTAAGACAGCTGAGGAGCCCTGAATTACTCTGCGCTGTCTCAGAGTTCCTCTTGCTGAATCTACCAGCACCATCTTAACTGTGGCCATAAAATGACTCTATCTCTGGAGTTACAGCAACTGGTTCTCACCTGGGTGACATTTTCAGCATTTGGCACTTGCTCAAAGAGTTGTCCAGAACCAACTGGGCCTGAGCTAGGGGCATAACGGATTGTATCAGGAGGCTCATCAAGGTCATGACACAAGAGTTTTGCAACTACTGTATCTTTTGCAATTTCCTCCTTGAGTGTGTGCCTGTTTAATTTTTTAAGAAGAAAAATCCCTTTAGATGGATATTATTTTTAAATATAATGCATTTTCCATAAATATCCACTCATTTGGGTAATGCATGCACGTAGATACCCTATTTATCCTGGAGCAGACATATCAACTTTGGAGTACCATCTAGGAAGCCATTTCCCAAAAGGGTCTATGAATTTGGTAAGACTGTTTTAATTTTCTAGGATTATGTATTTTTTGAACCCAGCTGGGCACTTGTTTGAGATGGGCAGTTGATCAAGAACGTCGCCTCAGTGGAGAAATCTTGAGTGGGAATCAGATAATTCTCTGGGATTTTTCCAACCTGGAATATCTGGATGGTGTGGTCAAGAGAGATAATCCTTACCATTCTGTAGTCACAGTGGATTTATAACTGTGGAAGAACAAATGTTTATTCTTCACCACAATCCTGCAGGGTAAGTACTATTATTATCCCATTTTATAAAGAAAAAACTGAAAACCCAAAGGCTGAAGTAAATCACCAAAGATCACACAGCTGAAAAGGGATAGAACCAGGTCTATGGTTCCAGAATTCAAGCTTTTACCATGTACTTTCAGATTCGGGAAACCCAACTTGCAGTAATAAATAGTCATATAGTTTGGATGTTTGGACCCTCCAAATCTCATTTTGAAATATTATTCCTAATTTTGGGAGATGGGGCCTGGTGGGAGGTGTTTGGGTCATAAAGGTGGATCCCTCATGCACCGTAGGATTGGTGCCACCCAACCAGAGCCAGTTCTCACTCTGGTAGTTCATAGGAGAGCTAGCTGTTTAAAAGGGTGTGACACCTTCACCCCTTTCTTGCTATATGATATACTGGCTTTCCCTTTGCCTTCAGCCATGAGTGAAACCTTCCTAGGCCTCACTCAAAGCCAAGCAGGTGCTGGTACCATGCTTTTTGAACAGGCCTGCAGATCCATGAGCTTATTAAACCTTTTCTTTTACATTACCTAGTCTCAGGTATTCTTTTACAGTGACATAAAATGGACTAACACAAATAGGCCCAACAGGTCATTTCTGAGGACAATGACCTGAGGCTGAACAAGACTCAGTTTGATGATTAACCACATGGCCAGTTGGGCCAATAAATATGGCAATCTCTCTGCTCTCTACCCACTCCGAATACTTGCCCCTGCCCACTCATCTCAGCTCACCTAATGAGGTACCGATCACAGAAAGGTGAGTTGCCATTAATGCCATGGATATAGGCAGTTACTAGAATTGCTGCACACCGCTGGTCACAGTCACAAGCCTTAATGGAGAAGGACTGGACACTTGCAAACCCAGCTCTCTCCACATCAAGGCGTGTAGTAGTAACCACAGTGCCACGCTCTGTAACAAAACAGCACATCCTGCTACAATCTGGCCCATGTTGTCATTTTGAAAATTACTTTATTACATATGTAGCAATGCAAAAGGTAAGGTGAAAATTATACCCCATTCATTAGAATTAAGAAATAGATTCAGGCCAGGTGTAGTGGCTCACGCCTGTAATCCTGGCGCTTTGGAAGGCTCAGGTGGGGAGATCAGTTGATGCCAGAAGCTTGAGAAGCTTGGGCAGAATAGTGAGATCAATCTCTTCAAAAATAAAAATTACAAGTTAGCCATGTGTAGGTGGGTTGATCACTTGTGCCCAGTTCAAGACTACAGTGAGCTGTGATCACACAACTGCACTCCAGCCTGAGCCACAGAGCAAGACACTATCTGAAAGAAAGAAAGAAAGAAAGAAAGAAAGAAAGAAAGAAAGAA